TCCCTCCTGTTTCGTCGTCGTGGTCGTCGTCGTCGTCGTCGTTGTCGTCGTCGTCTTCCCTCCTCCCTCGTCGTTGTCGTCGTCGGCGTCGCCGTCCTTCCTCCTTCTTCGTCGTTCGCGTCGTCGCCGTCCTCCCTCCTCCCTCGTCGTTGTCGTCGTTGTCGTCGTTGTCGTCGTTGTCGCCGTCGTCGTCCTCCCTCCTCCCTCGTCGTCGTCGTCTTCGTTGGCAGCGTCGTTATTGTCGTTGTCGTTGTCTTCGTCGTCGTCAGCGTCGGCGTCGTCGTCGTCGGCGTCGTCGTCGTCGGCGATGTCATCGTCGTCGGCGTCGTCGTCGGCGTCGGCGTCGTCGTCGTCGTCGGCGTCGGCGTCGTCGTCGTCGGTGTCGTCGTCGTCGGTGTCGTCGTTGTCGGCGGCGCCGTCGTCGTCGTTATCGCTGTCGTCGTCGGCGTCGGTGCCGTGGCCAAGTGCCATGTGGTACCTACCGTCACGGCCTTGTCTTAAGAGGTCGTGCGTCCAAGTTGAGGGTGGGAGGGTGGGATGTTTGCACGGGCAGTGGGGGGGACAGCTTCAAGACAGTCAAAGTGAAGTTCACGCCATAAACTGCACACTACAAATACTGGACCACATAGATTGCACCACTTGGAATGCCCCGTGTATATTCTCCTTTCTAAAAATAGACGCTACTCCCCCCCTGGAGTTAACGGTCCCCCATGGGGTATTGCGATTCCATACTTATTCTGCACATTCGTCCATCCTAAATTGTTGACGCTTCGCGTATCCCCACCAGCCCATCCAGAAACGATGTTCAGGGGAGTTGAGGTGATCAGGGAAGTCGGGGAGCATGCAGAATAACAAAGGGCGGGGGAAGCTGTCACAGACCCCGAGAGGGGGAGGATGGAAGAGGAGTCGTCGTCGTCGTCGTCGTCGGAGGAGGAGGAGGAGGAGGAGAAGAGGAGGAGGAGGAGGAGGAGGAGGAGGACGGAGAAGGAGGAAGAATCGGAGGAGGAGGAGGAGGAGGGGAAGGAGCTTCTTGGGGGTCTTTTGAGGGCCTCTTGGAGGGCTTTTTGGGCGCCTTGGGGCATCTTGGGCGCCTCTTGGGACCCTCTTGAGGCGCTCTGGGGAGCCTTCGGGGCGCTTTTGGGGCCATCTTGGAGGGAGTCGATCAAACAAGAGGGGGGGTTTAATTAGCGCCCCCCCTCGGAAGCCCCTAAAATCGCCTCTTGGACCCCTCTTGGAACGCTCTTGGAGTGCTCTTGGGCGCTCTTGGGGCCGTCTTGGGGCTCTTTTGGGGCTCTCTTGGGGCCCTCTTGGGCCATCTTGGAGCCATCTCCAGGCCTCGGATGGCCATCGGAAGCGAAAAGGCGAGAAAGCAAAAATCATTGATTTTCCTTAGGTTTTGGGACGATTTTGGCCTCTTCGGGGCCTCCTTGGGGAGCTGTTTGGCCACTTGGAGTTATCTTGGGGCCGTCTTTGGGCTTCTTGGAACCATCTTAGGAGCCATCGTGAGCGATCTTGCGCTATCTTGAGCCATCTTGGAGCTCATCTTGGGTTCTCTGAGGCGCTCTTGGAGCCGTCTTGGGCCATCTTGGACGCTCTAACTACCCGCGGCCCCCCCCGTCCAGGTCCAGGGGAGGGGGTAGGGGGAGGGGTAAACCCCTCCCCAAGGGGGAAGAGGGAGGGGTGGAAGAGGATCTGTTCTAGACCACCTACGCCCAGAGGGCTGGTGGGATACGAGTTCACGCTACCCCAGCCAGGCTGGTATCACTCCCCCCCGCCGTGCCTTGCCAAAAAATACTATGCGCGCGCACTCGTTTATCAAAAGTCATAAGTTCTCACGAATCCCTGGCAAACACACGGGGCGATGTCCACACGCGCGCGTCCCTCCTGTGCGACCCTATAGTAGTAGGAACGTGTAGTGTATAGTAGTAGTAGTGTGTAGTAGTCCTCCTAGTAGTAGTAGTAGTAGTAGTAGTAGTAGTAGTAGTAGTAGTAGTAGTAGTAGTAGTAGTAGTAGTAGTAGTAGTAGTAGTAGTAGTAGTAGTAGTAGTAGTAGTAGTAGTAGTAGTAGTAGTAGTAGTAGTAGTAGTAGTAGTAGTAGTAGTAGTAGTAGTAGTAGTAGTAGTAGTAGTAGTAGTAGTAGTAGTAGTAGTAGTAGTAGTAGTAGTAGTAGTAGTAGTAGTAGTAGTAGTAGTAGTAGTGGTAGTGGTAGTAGTAGTAGTAGTAGTAGTAGTAGTAGTAGTAGTAGTAGTATCAGCGCCAGAACCGCCGACGCCGATGCCGTAAGTGAAGCAGCAGCAAAAGCAGGCAGCAAGTCGCCGAGACAGCAGCAACAGCAAGCAGGCACGGAGATGAGGGCGGGGTACTGGGGAGTTCTTTACATCGACATCTATATCTCTACATCTACATCTACATCGACTCCTACATCTACATCTAGACATACATATACATCTACACCTACAGCTACATCTACATCTACACCTGCATCAACATCTACATCTACGTCAACAGCGAGACTCACATCCACATCTACATCTACACCTACATCTACACCTACAGCTACATCGGCATCTACACTTATATTCTCATCTACACCTACATCTACACCTACACCTACACGTTCGCATTGGTTTTGTTTTTGCTTTTCATTGCCTTTGCTTTTGCTCTTGCCTTTGCTTTTGCCTTTGCTTTTCGTTTGCCTTGGCCTACACCGCACGACTTGGCATTGAGCAAGGTTGTGCAACACTTGCTACGCCGAACGTTCCTACGAAACTGTGCAGCAGCAGCAACTCCTAGATCGGTGCAACAAGCTGTTCAGCATTGTTTCGGCGGGCATCATCCGCGCTGCAATCTACGGTTTCACCAAAGTGGTGTGGCCACAACCTCCCCGCTGTCGTGGAGTCGCCCGAGCCACTCTTGGCGCGCGGGGACTTGTGTCGAATAACCAGTCGTGCACAGATCGCCGTGATTGGCTATGCTCCTGCTATGCTATGCTATGCTATGCTGCGCAATGCTATGCTGGGCTAGGCCAGGCTAGGCTAGGCTATGCTATGCTATGCTATGCTGCGCTATGCTATGCTGCGCTACGCTGTGCTATGCTATGATATGCTTTTGTTTTGCCTTCTCTTTTGCCTTCGCTTTTGCCTTTGCTTTTGCTTTGCTTGGCACCCAGGGAGCGCCACCGGGGGAACCGCGCGTTTGTTTTTACCTTTGCAGTTGCTTTCGCTTGGCTCCCAGGGGGCCGGGGGAACCGCCCGGGGCGGCCGATTTAAGCGAACAGAGTAAGAACCCTTTTGGGCAGAGCCTAGGTAGGGAATGAAAATAAACATGGTTTCGCAACACGAATGTTCTAAAAAGCTCAGCGGTGTTGCAACATGTTAAGAAAAACATCGGTTTCCAACCAGTTCAAAACATCCTACCAAACGAGCTTCGCGCGCGCATGTCGAAATCGTTCGCACGCCCGTGCGCACGTGCCGTCGCGAGAATCCCTTTCAACAAATGGGACGAGTTGCGCGCGCGTCGTCGCGCGCGCATGCATGCCGAAATCCTTCAAACACCTTTGGTTTCGGAAGGATTCCAAAAACGAATGTCCAAAAAACATAGAACACATATGGTTTTGCAACACGGGTTTCGACAAAAGCGTGCGCTCGCGCTCTTGCGTCGTAGTCGTCGTCGTCGTCGTCGCCGTCCTCCCTCCTCCCTCATCGTCGTCGTCGTCGTCCTCTGTCTTTCCTTGTCGTCGTCGTCGTCCTCTTTGCCGTCGTCGTCGTTTCCGTCGTCGTTGTCGCCGTGGTCGTCCTTCCTCCTCCCTCGTCTTCGTCGTCGTCCGTCGTCGGCGTCTCGTCGTCGTCCCTCCTGTTTCGTCGCCGTCGTCGTGGTCGTCGTCGTCGTCGTCGTTGTCGCCGTCCTCCCTCCTCCTTCGTCGTTGTCGCCGTCGCCTTCCTCCATCCTCCCTCGTCGTCGTCGTCTTCGTTGGCGTCGTCATCGTCGTCGTCGTCGGTGTCGTCGTCGTCGTTGGCGTCGGCGTCGGCGTCGGCGTCGTCGTCGTCGTCGGCGTCGGCGTCGTCATCGTCGTCGGCGTCGGCGTCGGGGTCGTCGGTGTCGTCGTCGTCGGTGTCGTCGTTGTCGGCGTCGTCGTCGTTGTCGCTGTCGTTGTCGGCGTCGGTGTCGTTGCCAAGTGCTATTTTTTCCTACCGTCACGGTTTCAGGAGGTCTTGCGATTAAGTTGGGGGTGGGAGGGTGGGATGCTTGCACGAGCATTAGAGAGGACAGCGTCAAGACAGCCAAAGTGAACTGCACGACATAGGCCGCACCACGTACGTATATTGCACGACACATGGTGCACCATACGTATAGATATAAATATGTTTCGCCGCGTCGATTGCACCACCTAGATTGCGCCACCGATATAGCGCTACATAAGCTGCACCGCCGATCTTACAGCACATAGGGTGCAACACCTGAATTGCACATCTTAGATTGTACAATTTGGACTGCACAGTATATATGGGACCACGTAGATATGCTACACGTGCATTGCACAACATAAATGGCACTCGATTGCTAGAAACACTGCTTGGGGCCCACGCTGACTAGCATCCCGAACTATCAAGCAAGGACGCTTGCTGCTTGTCCCCAGGCAGTGCTTGCATTTAGGGCTTCATATTTCTTTCACTAGCGGGTGGGGTGGATCACCCGAGGATTGGTTGTGTTGCCGTCCCGTGGCCGCCCAACGAAATTTGCATCGCAAGTCTTGCACCACATAGTTTGCACCGCATAGCATGCCTCACGTAGATTGCCCCATGGAACTTGCACCACACAGTTTGTACCATGCAGCTTGCGCCTCCGAGCTTGCGCCACATCCCTTACACCGCAGATATGCAAGCGCTGCAGCAGAGAAGTTTCACCATTCAAGGCTTTGTCGTAAACGTCGCGCATCGAGCATGCAATAACCCTTTGTTTGGGATCCACGTGAGACGACATGCAGTGTTTCCTTCTTCCAGCATCGCTCCAGAGTCGTACATGGGAGACTATTCGCCAGCTTCTGACATCTACTGCATCGGAGTCATCATGTACAAGTTGCTGACGGGAAAGTTCCGGGAGGAGGGGGAGGAGCAGCAGCAGAGAAGCGTGAGGAAGAACAGGGACGGTAATCGGAATACAAACGAGCGAGGAGGATGAGGAGCATGAGAGCGTTTCCCCGCACACCTAGGCACTGCGAGAGCCAGAGCTCGAACAACTTGTTTGGACAGGAAACGCTCCCTGCCCCCAGCCCCTTTAACGCGCCCATGGGATAGGAAAGCAGAAACGCCAGGCAGTTCCGCAAGCCGCCCAGGCCGCCGGGCCCGCCGCACTTCGCCGAGCTCGGCGTGCAGATTGGCCGCCATCCCAGCATCCGCCTTGCTGAATGTCTCTGCCTTGGCGCGGCGCACCGCCCTGGCACCGCCCGCGGGGGTGCCCGACGGGCGCGCCCCGAGGCCACACCGACTGGCCTTGGAGGCCGTCGAGCTGGGCGTCCTCGCCGCGCGTGCCTTGCGTGCCACCGCTGGCCGCAGCGGGGCGCAGGTCCGCCAGAGGCACTCCGCCGCGCGGGCCGGCCGAAGCCGCAGCTCCTCAGGCCCCTCCGCCGCCCCGCCGCGCGCGCTGCGCCTCCCCGCCGGGCGCGCTGGCGTCCTGCAGGTCTCCCCGTCGTGCCTCCCTGCGCCCTCCGCTCGGGTTCCCGTCGCGCGCCTCTTGCGGGACGTCGGGCCTCGAGCGTTCCCTCGGCCCGGGGTTTCCCTGACGTCTCCGCTTTGTGTCCGTCTTTTTTGTTTGTGATTCGTGTTCGTATTAGTCGATTTCTTCTTAGTCTTATTTTTTCTCAGAGTTACTATTCATTGTCATTGATTGTGATCCCTCTTGTTATTGGAACCCATCAGGACAATGCTATGCAGTTGTCTATTGTTCTTCTTATTATGCGCAGTTGTCGTCATGTTACTGCTACCGTTATCCGCATGTTTCCTGTTATGCTTGATATTGTTATGTTTAGTAATTGTCCTCTTATCTGTCTGGTCCACCACGGGGGGGCATCATATTAAGGATCTGCAGCGTCGCTAACATCATCATCCTCGCCGTCGTTCGCATCATCACCGTCATCACGCAACCAGCAGTTGTCATCATTGTCATCACCATCATCATGATCACCATCGCCATCATCGTCATCACCATCATTCTCATCATCATCATCACCATCATCATCATCATCATCATCATCATCATCCACAGCGGTTTCGGCTCTCGGACGCGAGTAACTCGCTTTTGCTTTTCGCGCTCCCCCCCCCCCCAACCACCAGCAGCCGCCATGGGCAACAGGGCAGGTGACGCGGGGACCCCGTCGCCTGCGAAGAAGTCGGCGGCCGCGGCGGCCTCACCAGCCGCTGCCTCTGGCGCGCCGCCCGCCGCTGCCTCTGGCGCGCCGCCGGCCCTGTGCATCGCGCAGCTCCTCGAGACGGACCACGCGTCGATGCAGCAGGGTCACGTCAAGGAGTGGGTGCGCCAAGTGAAGCACTACGTCGACCATAGTTTTGCTCAGCTTCCTGGGGCAGCGCAAGCGCGAGGTGTCCTTCGCGGTGCCCGCCAAGTGTTCTTTGATTCCGCCGTTGGCCAGCATTGATGGTGCCTCTGGCGCAAACCTCAGTTCGTTTCGCGAGGTCATGGACTACGACAACCTGGTTGCGAGCTTCTCCCGCGCCAAGTAGTACGAGGCAGCGGGGGCGGCGTGGATGTTGGGCCCGATTTGCTCGGACATCGGCGACGTCGCCGCAAGCCAGCTCGAGGGCGCCGTGAGCGCGTGGTCGGAGGAGGCACGCCCCCTCTCCTCCAAGCACGCGCCCTCGCGGCGCCTCGCCTTCGACGTCGCCATCCCCGCCTCGGCGGTCGACATCAAGGTCGCCCAGCGGCTTGAGCCTCACAAGCCTGGAGCTTGCTCGACAGAGGCTCTGACCATGGTCGGGTGTAGTTTTCTTTGGTCGGGTCTAGTTGTTCCCTGGTCGGGTGCAGTTTTCCCTTGGTCGGGTCTAGTTTTTTCCTTGGTCGGTTTCCCACGGCCGCGCCCGAGGCAGCGGAGCACTTGGGCGACGCCGCCTTGCCATTGATGCTTCCAGGCACTCGGGGCACCTCTGCAGTAGGCGCGAGGAACGGCGGCAGCCGCCATTCCTGGACAACCCTGTCAAAGTCGATATTGGCGCCCCGGCCCTGGCCGAGGAGCCAGCGCGAAAGTAACCCCGCCGCCAGCTCGGATGGGATGTCCAACCCGCCACGTCTTCCAGGACTTGGTTGCCGACACCAAGTCTTCTCAACGGAACCCGCGCCAGAGGTAGCGTCCTGCCGCTGGCCGCCGCGGCGACTCATCATGGCAAGCGCGCCCCGGTCGCGTCTTCCCGGCTCGAGCCTGCAAATGCGACGGACATGCGGGGGAGGGGGGGGGGGGGGGCAGGAGGAGGAGGAGGAGCAGCTGCAGCACCAAAACGAGCAGCAGCAGCAGCAGCAGCAGCAGCAGCAGCAGCAGCACAAGCAGCAACATTGAGGAGCAGCCTCGTCAGGAGGAGGACGAGCAGCAGCAGCGGCAGGAGAAGAAGCGGGAGGGGCAAGAAGAGGAGAAACAGCAGCCGCAGCACCACAAGCAGCAGCAGCAGCAGAAGCAGCAGCATTGGGGGGCAGCCTCAACAGAGGGAGGCTGAGGAGGAGGAGCAGCAACAGCAGCAGCAGCAGCAGCGAGAGCAGCAGGAGGATGAAGGTCGGGTCTAGTTTTTTTCCTTGGTCGGGTTTAGTTTTCCACTGGTCGGGTCTAGTTTTTCCTCTGGTCCCGTCTAGTTTTCCTGTGGTCGGGTCTAATGTTCCCCTGGTCGGGTCTAGTTTTTGTTTTGGTCCGGTCTAGTTTTTCCGTTGGTCGGGTTTAGTTTTTCCCTGGTCGGGTCCTTAGTTTCCCCTGGTCGGATCTAGTTTTCCCTTGGTCGGGTCTAGTTTTTCCTTCGGTCGGGTCCAGTTTTCCCTTGGTCGGGTCTACTTCTACCTCGGTCGGGTCTCATTTTCCCCTGGTCGGGTCTAGTTTTCCTCTGGTCGGGTCTAGTTTTCCCTGTGGTCGGGTCTAGTGTTTCCTTGGTCGGGTCTAGTTTTCCCCTAGTCGGGTTTAGTTTTCCCTTCTGTCGGGTCTAGTTTTCCCCTGGTCGGGTTAAGTTTGTCCCTGGTCGGGTCTACTTTTCCCTTGGTCGGGTCTAGTTGTTCCTTTGGTCGGGTTTTGTTTTTCCCTGGTCGGGTCTAGTTTTTCCTTGGTCGGGTACAGTTTTCCCCTGGTCGGGTCTAGTTTTTCGTTTGGTCCGGTCTAGTTTTTCGTTTGGTCGGGTTTAGTTTTTCGCTGGTCGGGTCTAGTTTTCCCCTGGTCGGGTTTAGTTTTTCCTTTGGTCGGGTGTAGTTTTCCTTTGGTCGGGTCTAGTTTTTCTCTGGTCGGGTCTAGTTTTCCCCTGGTCGGGTCTAATTTTCCCTGTGGCCGGGTTTAGTTTTTCCTTGGTCGGGTCTAGTTTTCCCTTGGTCGGGTCTAGTTTTTCGTTTGGTCCGGTCTAGTTTTTCGCTTGGTCGGGTCTAGTTTTTCGCTGGTCGGGTCTAGTTTTTCTTTGGTCGGGTCAGTTTTCCCTTGGTCGGGTCTAGTTTTTCCTCTGGTCCGGTCTTGTTTTCCTTTGGTCGGGTTTAGTTTGTCCTTGTTCGGGTCTAGTTTTCCCTTGGTCGGGTCTATTTTTCCTTTGGTCGGGTCTAGTTTTTCTTTGGTCGGGTCTAGTTTTCCCCTGGTCGGGTCTAGTTTTTCCTGTGGTCGGGACTAGTTGTTCCTTGGTCGTGTTTAGTTTTACCCTGGTCGGGTCTAGTTTTCCCCTGGTCGGGTCCAGTTTTTCCGTGAGTCGGGTTTAGTTTTTTCCTGGCCAGGTCTAGTTTCCCCCTGGTCGGGTATAGTTTTTCCCTGGTAAGGATTCGTTTTTCCTTTGGTCCGGTCTAGTTCTTCTCTGGTCGGGTCTAGTTTTTCCCTGGTCGGGTCTAGTTTTCCCGTGGTCGGGTCTAGTTTTTCCTTTGGTCCGGTCTAGTTTTCCCCTGGTCGGGTTTAGTTTTTCCGTGGTCGGGTCTAAATTTCCCCTGGTCGGGTCTAGTTTTCCCTGTGGTCGGGTCTAGTTTTTCCCTGGTCGGGTTTAGTGTTTCCCTGGTCGGGTCTAGTTTTTCCCTGGTCGGGTCTAGTTTTCCGTTTGGTCGGGTCTAGTTTTCCCTGTGGTCGGGTCTAGTTTTTCTCTGGTCGGGTCTAGTTTTCCCTTGGTCGGGTCTAGTTTTTCCTTGTGGTCCGGTCTCGTTTTTCCCTGGTCGGGTCTAGTTTTCCCTTGGTCGGGTCTAATGTTCCCTGTGGTCGGGTGTAGTTTTTCCTCTGGTCGGGTATAGTTTTCTGGTCATGTCTAGTTTTTCCCTGGTCGGGTCTAGTTTTCCCCTGGTCGGGTCTAGTTTTCCTTGTGGTCGGGTCTAGCTTTTCCCTGGTCGGGTCTAGTTTTTCTCTGGTCGGATCTAGTTTTTCCCTGGTGGTGTTTAGTTTTTCCTTTGGTCGGGTTTAGTTTTTCCCTGGTCGGGTTTAGTTTTCATTTGTTCGGGTCTAGTTTTCCCCTGGTCGGGTCTAGTTTTTCCTTTGGTCGGGTCTAGTTTTCCCTCTGGTCGGGTCTAGTGTTTCCCTGGTCGGGTCTAGTGTTTCCCTGGTCGGGTCTAGTTTTTCCTTGTGGTCAGGTCTAGTACTTCCCTGGTCTGGTCTAGTTTTCCCTGCGCGGATCTAGTTTTTTCCTGGTCGGGTCTAGTTTTCCCTTGGTCGGGTCTAGTTTTTCCCTGGTCGGGTCTAGTTTTTTGTTGGTCGGGTCTATTTTTCCCCCTGGTCGGATCTAGTTTTCCCCTGGTCGGGTCTAGTTTTCCCCTGGTCGGGTGTAGTTTTTGCTCTGGTCGGGTTTAGTTTTCCCCTGGTCGGATCTAGTTTTTCCTTTGGTCGGGTCTAGTTTTTCCCTGGTCGGGTATAGTTTTTCTTTTGGTCGGCCGGGTGTAGTTT